CCCCCCCCCTGCCACAAAAAAAAAAAAAAACTAATCCATCCATCCATCCTCAGTTCAATCCGTGCAGTAATATATTAAAAAAATGAAACTAATTTACATAGAAGTTTTTAAGAGAATACAAAATTACCACGAAATTAAAAAAGAAATGCTTAATTAATCCTCCAGCTTCAGATTAATATTGGAAGGGATCAGGTCCTGAAGCAGCCCGTGGCCTCTGACGGGACTGCCGGCCGTCGGATTAAGGTACCTATGCCCGATTGATGACACTTGGCGGAAATCGAGCGGCTGACGAGGATGAGACGGCGGAGGCGGCAAGTAGGAGATGAAGAATGGACGGCGGTAGGCGGGGCACGATGCATCATGTTGCTGCCACGTGGCACGACGGGGCTATGGTGGGTGTGCTGTCCCTCGTAGGTGGTGACGACGATGGTCGGATCCTTTGAGGATCTCTCCACCCGTTTCTTTACTCCGCACATGGCGGTGGTGCACCGGTAGTAGCTCCTGAAAATGACGATCGTGCCCTTCACTGTTAGCTGGGAATTACGTAAAAGCGAGGGGGTGATGACGGGATACCGTATCTGTATTCGCAGTGGCAGGGAGTGTAAATAGTTACCTAGGGAAGGGGCTATTCTTGACGGCCTTCTGGCCGTACTTGCGCCATCGGTAACCGTCTTCGAGGTGATCCACCCCGCTCTTCGTCAAGAACGCGAACCTCGGTTCCCTTTTACGTTTCTGCCCCTTCTTTTCCCATCCCTTGGATGGTCTATTGCGGTTCTTTTTCCAAATTAGTCCTCCTTAAATCGAATAATACAAAAAACACACACAGTAAATCGGAAAGAAAAAAGTGATCGACTGAGCTTACTCTTTCTTCTCCTTATCCAATTCAGTATCCACATCACTAGCCGCCGATCCATTAGCCAGATCTTGCTCGTTCGGAGCTTCCGTTGATGACGAAGAGACCGATGATTCATTCGGTGTCACCGGTAAGTTGACCACCATGGAGGATTCCGGCGGTAAGATCACCGGCATCGGGGGCGGCGGCATGTCATCGAAGAGTGAGTGAGAAGTTAAATCTTGGACCCCGAGAAGGTCCATGAATCCCAGAGATGAGCTCCCGTTTCCAGCCCTATCGAGGGGGGAACGGCTGAAGAACCCACTGAGCTCGAACTCTTCTGATCTCGTCTCAGTCTTCATCCAGGCACGATTTCATGAAAATACGGAACAGCTAGGGTTTGAAGTGAAATAAAAAAAAAATGAGCAAGAGGAAGGAGATGAGATATTTTAAGCTCCGAGGGAGGACAACCGGCGATAGCCAGTGAAGGTACTGAAGCTGGTACAATAATTAATGTGGGCGCTAGGCTTTCTCATACTTGGAAGGAACTAACGGGTACCGGCTCTGAATCGTTGGTCACACGTGTCGGGTTAAATCAACCGTTACGTGTTTACTAGCGTACCCTTTCCGACTCCCGAAAGTGGGACGCGTTGAGAAGGGTGTTTTTGGTAGTTTAAATTGCCTCACCTGTGGTCCCGGTGGAGGCGCGGATATGGTGCTGACACGATCCCGGCGTCATCGTCGCTCGCCTCCTCCCAACACGCAATAGCTTCCTCGAATTAAATGTTTGTGGGGTTTAATAATTGAAATATGAAAATATTCTCCGCCCATAATTAAGAAAAATGGCTAAAAGTACCTGATTTTTAGTGGTGCCATATTTTTTAATGAGATTTTTTTCTTCTTTGGCTCACGGCATCATAGAACTAATATTAATTTTGTATTATTTTATATAGCGGGTGGGGGGATCAATATACGTAGTAATAGAAAAGATAACTAGATCGGTATTAAATTAGATACAGCGCTGCTTTTTGGCTCGCACTTTAACGCGCGAGCCAACTCTTCCCTTATTGAGTGCCCATGGGGGGAGAGAACAGATCAATATACATAGTAATAGAAAAGATAACTAGATCGGTATTAAATTAGATATTAGTATCATAATAACACAGGTGCAAGCCTGCAAGGAAAATAGGGTCCTACTAAAACTTTCAATTTGATAATTAAAAGGAAAAAAACAATTGATTTCAGGTCCCTCTGTTATGGTATTTATTTATCAGTTTTTCTATAGAGTGCTCATGGTCACTCTATAAGAGAGAAGAGAGATAGAGAGAAATAAATTGTGCACAGAAATTAATACAAATCAAGGGGCCCATGAGCTATTCATTTCTCTCTATCTCTCTCCTCCCTTATTGAGTGCCCATGGGGGGAGAGAACAGATCAATATACATAGTAATAGAAAAGATAACTAGATCGGTATTAAATTAGATATTAGTATCATAATAACACAGGTGCAAGCCTGCAAAGAAAATATGGTCCTACTAAAACTTTCAATTTGATAATTAAAAGGAAAAAAACAATTGATTTCAGGTCCCTCTGTTATGGTATTTATTTATCGGTTTTTCTATAGAGTGCTCATGGTCACTCTATAAGAGAGGAGAGAGATAGAGAGAAATAAATTGTTCACATAAATTAATGCAAATCAGGGGGGCCCATGAGCTATTCATTTCTCTCTATCTCTCTCCTCCCTTATAGAATGCCCATGGGCACTCTATAGAAAAACTGTTTATTTATTTGTGTTGTCCACTTCCAAGCGTCTCTCATAAGTTTGCTTAGATTTTGGTAGAACAATAGGTACAAAGTAGAAATTATGAATTGTATCCAAGAGCGCTATATATACATGCTTAGCTAGTTATATATACACTTTGTAGTTTTTGACTCCCGCTTATGTCTATCTTATATATCTATCAAGACAGAAGTTTTTCTGCAACGTGCATGTAGGCCATATAAAGTGCAACAATTTTGATTTCCTTTTATCTAAAATTATTAATTCTATCATTTACATGTAAAAGCTTAATATATTTTAATAAAAATAATGCTAAATCAACAAATATGTACGAATTAATTTATGATAGTGGAAATCAGGGGTGGACGTAGATACATGTGTGTGAGTACAGTTGAACCCCTTTCATTTTACAAATTGCATGCAAGCTCATGTAATGTTTGCAATATCGCCACCCTATAAATTTTAAAATTTGTACCCCCAACCTATCTTAAAATGCTAATTAGTAGTAGATCGAATTAACCCATTGTAAATTAAAGGCTCATTTAATCAAGTCAAATGGGCTCAACCGTAAAAGGTCCTAGACTACAACATGAGAAACTTAAAAAATACACAGAGCGCCTACCAATTACATGCTATATTTTATAATATTATATATTAATATTTTTGGCAATTAGATACTTAATGTTAGCCCTCAACAACAATTAAAAAAAAAGGGATCCATCACTGGTAGGAATAGTAGAGATCCGCCTCTTATGTGCCCTAAAGTCATACTATAGAAAACCCCTAGGAAATATAGTCAAATTTGTCTAACTATATTTTTAAGCTTTTATCAAGAAGATTTACATTACGCTTGTTACAAGCTATCATTAACTAAAAATTGAGGAGACTTAAGTACATTACCAAGAAGATTTACAATACCCTCATTTGGTAATGCGAGAACATGAAAGAATGGAATGCTCATCCTCACTTTTCATTCATGCCTACCAAATTCTATGTCTTTTTGGAAGTTAGAATGTACATTCATACTTCTCCTACATTCTCGTTTTTTGTGGGAATGGGCATTCTCAATGAGTTGATTGGGAATGAACGTTCTCACTTAAGTTAGATAAAAAATTATGTTAACTATCAAATATGTCATGATTATTTATTAAATACTCATTAAAATTTAAAAAGATTTTTATTCACACTTCATTCTTTAATAGCATCCAAACATGAGAATGAAAATGAATATTCTATTTCTACACATATTTCTTCTTTTATTTTATTATTACTTAATGTGATTCCTTCATACCAAGCGAGAGGTAGGAGTCTAGGGGGAGGAGATGGAGAAGCCGAGTGGCCTTTGTACAAGTAGAGGGAATACCGACCCACAAGAAAAGAAAAAGAAGTGTAGGATATTGAGAGAAGGATGGCGACAGGATATTTCATAGGAAGAGTTGGAAGATGATGATATTGATAGAAGTGGACAGAGGACATATTTTCTTCGATCAGTTCTTTAACACATGATTAAGAATAACCACTCATCAAGGATATTTTTATGCACCATCGACAAGAGTAGTATCAAGATCATGTTGACCGTTGAATGGATACATGATCACAAAGGAAAGGGTAAGCTAGTTGTTGATCCAAATTAGTCAGTACTGTATAGTAGTTGGCACTTCAATCAAAATTGATAGGAGATCTTAGGGAGCTTGGACTATATATGGTAGAGTCCATGGACCAATTTGATCGATCACATCATATGATGTCTTTCAATTTGGACGTCCGTCTTCTCCATCACTTAGTTTTATTTAAAAGGTACCAGAATTATTCATCAACAGGAAAATTTTATGATTTAAGATATGTTATACAAATGTAAAAAGTAGTCCAATAGATGGCGGTTATCGATGACGCATTTTAGCAGGCGAAAAAATTTCTGTTAAAGTGCACCATCGCTGAGTTCTTGATGGCAAGAAAGAAGAGAAGAAGTGCTACAAAGATCTTAAGCATTGGATTGCGATCATCAAATCCTTGTTCGAAATCCTCATAGGATCGTTGTATGCATTAAAAATTACCTATAGGTTCCCACACGTAGTTCGAGACGGAGAGAAGACGATGAACGTCAGTATCCGAATCAAGGAGGTTTATCTGACACCGACAAGCGCATGAAGCGAATTGGTGAACCGTTGATGACGTAGCAACAAGCCACCGGAACGGCAAAGCAAGGGACTGCACGTTCATCAGCCACCTCTAAGTGGCCTGCGCGCTCATCGGCCACCTCCAAGTGGCTCGCGCGATTATCAGCCACCTCCAAGTGGCTCGCGCGATTATCAGCCACCTCCAAGTGGCCCGCGTGCTCACCGGTCAGCTCCAAGTGGCCTGCGAACTCATCAGCCACCTCCAAGGGGCTCGTGTGCTCATCGGCCACCTCCAAGTAGCCCACGCACTTGTCAGCTGCCTCCAAGTTAACGAAACGCATCAAGCGAATCGATGAAGCATACAAGTCAACAAAACGACGAAATGCGCGTAACGACGAAACAAATCAAACCCGAAAGACCGGAATAGCTCCTGGAGGCTGAGTCGCACTGAAAGGACTCGGCCAAAGCCAGTGGCTCGGCCAAGGCTGAGCCACCGTAGGGTGGCTCGCGCCTATCCCAAAACGAGTTTTTCGATATGATTTCACGGGATTCATCTATTCTAGAGCCTCCCAACTGTGTTGAGGCTATCCTTGAATATGGTTAAGCGGTAATTAACTGCGGATTACGTTAAATCATCAGGTCTTATCCGAAAACGCTACAACCAAAGCCTATAACTACAAGCCTAGGGCCCTATATGCAGAGGATGGAAAATCTGCTATCAAATTAAAGAGTAGAGCACGAATTTTAGAGAAGGGCTAGCAGATCTTGACAAAATTTAGCATAAAGAGGGAGCTATTCGAAGGATCTGAGGCCCGTTTCACCTTTCCTCTGGATCAAACTTGGTTTTGATCTCGAGAAGAGTCATAATCTCACTTGGTTAAGATTATCACTTCTGCGATTGTTTCTTTTATGAAGCAAGCGTATTAATTAACTTTTCTGTCAATCGGTTCTGATTTGCGGTGGTCCACGGACTAACGCGTCTCCGGCACAAGTAAAGATCTCACACAAAGCAGTGGGTGATAAACGTCAGTTGCGTGTGTTTTGAGGAGATTGTATTTGTTTAGTTTTTCATTGTGTAAGAAGATCTTATAAAAAGATCGACTTTTCTCTTTTTTAAATTTATAATCGATAAATAATTGTAACAGATTCAATGATAATGAAGAAATCAAATTCCGATGCAAACACACTGGTGACCACAGCGGGAGCCAACAGCCTCTCTGCCGAGGCTATCGTGTCGTAACTAAGGATCCAGATCCCGGTTGATGTAGAGATCGAGTACGAGTTTGACCAATCTAAGTTTGAGGAATATCTCTCATCATCCTCTTCAAGATCTTCCTCGTCCCACAAGTACAGGAAGATTTCGGCATCAAAGAAGTCTCGGGATGTCTCTCGCCTAATTGTTGATGAGGTTTCCCCTCGTAACGCTTCTCCGACATCCAAGAAAGCCAGAATTTTAGATCACAATGACTCCCCTTCAGTCCAGGAGTTGTTTAACAAAGACACGCCAATTCTGACAAAGAGGGCTCGTCAGAGGCAACGCTAATGCCTTGCACGTCAACTTGCCAAG